AAAAGAAAAGAAAAGAAAAGAAAAGAAAAGAAAAGAAAAGAAAAGAAGCTTATTATATCTAGATGGTAAGTAAAATCATCTAACAGTTTGCTAAGAAAGTATTTCTTACAATTAGCAGGAGTTTAAGTAGTGATAATAGCCAATTTTCAGCACTGATAAGTATAATTAGAGTTTAAGCTTGATAAGTGGGTACTGACAAGAAAAAAACCTTACAACACAACTGGGAAATTACCAAGAGACTACACGCAACTTCACTAATTACTCTGGGAAGAAAGGAGGAGGTAAACGAAGAGGACTGCAGTGTTGCAGATTGCTTCCTAAACAAGCACTTCTCTGCTCTTTCTTTGCTGAATAACCTGCAGTGCTGCCTCGGAGGAGGAAATGAGGCTTCAGGTTCTTTCCTTCTTGTCCTGGCTCTTGCACCATTATTAAGCGAATGTGGAATGAAGGACAAATATCTCGCAGGCAGCTTCTGGGTATAAGTGCCACTGCAGCAGGGGATGCAGTCAAAGCACTACTCACGTGGGGAAGGCTAAAGCCATGACTTGTCTTCCAGCCTTCCCCACTCTTCAGAATTTTTCTTAAACGGATGAATTAAAATCTAGTTTTTACTGAAAATTTGTACGACTGAAGTAATGGAAGCAATTTGATACATAAAATATTTAACTGAACAAACAAAAATGGAAGTGACAAGAGTCCTTTTGGTATTGTCTGGTTCGGTACATAACACATCTCCAGCCAAGAAGATAGGAAGTGGGAAAATGTTCTTCCCACTACAGAAGGCTGCCTGCTAGTTTTTCTCCCCCAGGAACGCCAAAGGAAGAAGTTTTTCAATCTGGATGTTTATGTTATATGCAAATCAAGGCGCCTCTTTCAGTTTTTATCAGTTAAAGGAAGAGTAATGTCCAAGCAATTCCCGTTCAAAGTTTTCTCCCAGACAATTTATAATTCAGAGGATCTTTTCTCAGTTAATGAGGAAGCAGTAGAAGTGCTCCCTCCTTCCCTAGGTGCACTATTTCATTTCTCAGAGACAAATCAGGAAGCATTTATCATTTCAAAGTAATGTTCCGAAGGAAAAGAAAAAAAAAAAAAGAAACTGTTAAAAAAAGGCCCCAGGGCAATTTTGTTGTCTATTATGGTGTAAAACATAACATCGTAAAGCTTAAACAATAAAAGGTCAGACAGGGAGAGGAGTGTGCTGTGGAGCAGACCACTGTTAGCAAGGCTTGCAAAACCTGCAGGATTTCCACTTACAGAGAGAAGGCAGGAGGTGTCACAAGGCTGAGGGGCCTCAGCCTAAAATCACAGCTGGGAGAGAAGTCAGCAGCCAGCAGGAGGGATCTGGCATGGTGCACTGCAAGCATGGAGCAGTGGGAAGGCTGGGGATGGGAGGAGAAGCGGGGTGATGCCCTGCCCCCAGTGATGCCAGCACTGCCATGTGCTCTATTTGCAGCAACTTGGGCTTTGCCTTGAAGCCCTCTAAATAAATGAGCTGAGTTTTTATATTTCTCCAAGGAAAATGATGGCTTTGAGGGAGGGGTTGCTTACCGTGCAGGTAAATGTAAATGTATCTGATGAAAGAAAAGTGTTGGTACAAAAGGAAATGGGTAGAAATGGGAGGAAAAAAAATGAAAAAAAATTATAAAAATAAAATAAAAAATAAATTTAAGTAAAAAAATATATATAATAATTTGAGGGAAAACCCTCTAAAACCTCCCTGCTTGCACCAGAAATAAATCTACAGAGGGAGGACAGACAACTTGGAGTCAGAGAGCAGAGGTGGGGAAGAGAAGAAAACAAAGGTTCTGAGGATGTTCAATCAAATGTGTTCAGAGAGAGCATGATCTGACAATTCCATACTTTCAGGGGAACACAATGTATTCTCAAACACTGTGTAGAAATGTATGTAAGGCAGGAAATACCCAGAGAGCCCAAGCCTCCTGCATACCCTGTGCACATCTCTTGGTCAGAATTGGAAATGCTCTCTGCATTAGCTCTTTCTGCTTGGATCTGCCAACCATAAAGGCTGAAAGTGCTCTTAGGCTCATGTTTTCATTTCTAATTTTCTCAGTGTATGAGACATGGATATTCAGACAATATAGATCTTTATTCCTTACAGAAGAAGCAAATACCAGTGATTGATATCCTTACTTCAATGGGAAAAAAAGTTTAAAATGGATTGGCGATGGCTGAAATTACTCTCCATGCTGTCACAGTGCCAAAGCTGGACATCCTATTGAACGACTGGCAATCTACCAGAAACACAAAAATGTTAATACAGCCATTCCCAAACTTTGCAATCTTTTCTAATTCAACTTTGAAATTAATTCACATTTGTTTTCAGAGAAGTTGCCAAATCCTTTCTTCATGCTGTTTTGCAAAAGAGTGAAACGTCTGTGGCCTTTGCAGTGTTGTCTTAAATCTACTGCTGGGTTAGAAATTCTGCTTGAAAACTCCATGTAAACAGACACGACCAAATCTCTTTCACAGTTATCCTGCCCTGTCAGAAGCAGCAGTGGTACCACTGATGACTCGCACATTTGATGCCTGGGCAATCTCTGCGATAACAGAAGTGACACATCATGTGATAAGCAACACAAGTGAGCCTGACGACTATTCTGGGATGGAGCCCACTCAGCGATTTGAAAGTGCAACATGGGGAGACAATCAGGCACTCTTCAGCTGACTTTCTTCTTCTTCCACGTCGGATAACAATGGCAGCAAAATGACTTTTCAAATCACACAGAATATAGTTTGTGCAGGAAAATGAGAGGGGACAGACAAAAGCTATATTCCACAATGTTATGGTTTGTTGAGCAGTTTTGGCAAAAGCGGAATTGTTTTACTTACCCTCTGCCACCTGGCTTCTCCTGGAAAATGGCAGAGAGCAAGTAGGAAATTGGGCAGAGATAAAAGATGCCGCACAGTGCTTTTCTGTCATTTTCCCATGAATATGTATGATTTTAGGTCTTTCTTACCCTGGACGGGAGCCAAAGGCTCGTAGACTACTCGATAACCCTGCAGGACTCCATTTGCTGCTGTCGGCTCGCCCCAAGACACATTGAGTGTCGTGGAAGTGATTTCAGAGAACGCCAAGAAGCTGGGAGCACTGGGTGCTGAAAGGATTACAAATGGATTGAATTGCAGCAGGCGTAGTCAATCTGATATACATATATATTATAAAACACTGCGTTTTTTTTGCCCAGTCTAAATCTAAAGGAGCCAAAGTAAGAATGGGATTTATGAATTGTATCAAAATTTCCAGTAATCAATCAAAACCACAGATTGTCTTCCCTAAGAAAAGCAGACACTCTGCTGCAAAACTGGGTCTCAGCAGCAAGCAAGGAGACACAACAGAAGGAGAAGACTCTCACAGAAACACTAAGTATGGCCTTTGCTCTCCATCTTGCTGCTGACTATCAGAAAGCTTGCAGTGTTTTACTGTTTGCTCTCCCCCTGTCATGGTTAGTGGAGATGCACTGCAGAGGCTAAGGTTTCTCAAGCTAACTCCCTCACTAGAACAGGGCCAAAGGGCAGCAGGGTACTAAGAGAGCGTGCAGCCCCAGTGCTCGTGTGCTCCTCGTGGCAGCCACATATAGCTCAGTTTGATGGTAGGGCTTCAATACGAGGGGTTGCACAAAGCATCCCTCTTCTCTCACAGGACTGCTCGGGAATTTCTAGGCGCTGCTAACAAGTTCAGATTTTCAGATGTAATAGCAGAGGCCCCAAAGAGATCCCCAGAGTTGCATCCTGGATCGACCTGCAAAGGGGTCGGTCGTTCTGACCATCCGTTCCAGCTCCATCTCTCTGCTCCCCTTCCCACATTGCTGCATTTTTGATCCTTTCCCCTCAGCCAACACAACATAACGATCCAGCTGAAAGCTAACTCTACACAGCAGTGCCCTCCTGCATGCCCCACACTCCCCCATTTGCTACCAGCAACCATCAGACCTGTGCTCTGAGGTGGTCACATACCAGCCTGGTGTGTCCTGCCTGCTGAGGGTCTGCTCCGGGGGCCGTCCCCTGCTGCATTGAAGGCAGAGATGCAGACCAGGTATCGCGTGTGGCTGGTCAGGTTTTTGAGGCGGACTGTTGTCTCAGGGAGGAAAAGGACCTTCACTTTCTCTGTGTCATTCTGGACGTCACTCTCCCAATAATAAATCTGTTGGAAACAGTGAGATGTTTTAGCTCCCAAACATCCCAGCATTGCAGCCGTACAGATCAGCAGGATGGAGCAGCCTTGCTCTGGACCCTCTGGTAAATGGTTCACTCTTCTCCGTGTGCCTGATCTTTTCTTTTTCTTTGGCAAATTACACTGAGTCCAGTGGCCATGCAGTTGAGTACATCATTCAAAAATAGAGCACAGGCTGAAGAATGTGGCCTGATGACAGCAGATCTGAGCTGCCAGAAACTCTGCGAGGAGAGGTCAGTCTTTTAATTCTCCCTGAAATGCTAGCTGCCTGTCAGCACTGGCACCCTGAGATGATGCTCCCATCATTCACTTCCCTGTGCACACAACTGTGCCACCATTTGTGTTCAAAGGACAGACAAGAAAATGCCTTTCTGAAGAGGGAATGAAGATTTTCCCTAAAATTCCTTGCATTACCCTTCTCCGTTCTCCCTTGCACAATTTTTATCCTGATCCCATAAAATTAGGATTGGAGAAGATGATTCCAAGAGAGAAGTGGTGCCAGCCCTACTTATTGGACAGGCCTGGCAGTGCGTGCATTACAACAAGCCAAAGCAAGCCAGAAAATGCAGAGAATGAGCCAAGGCAAGACTCTACCTTGGCTCTACAAGGCAAGCTGTTAGAGCCATATATATACATAGAAAAGAAAAAGAATATGAATTGATATATAAGGTTGCTTGCTACTGCCAAGAAGGGATGCCAGATTATTCACATTGGCTTGACTTTTCTTCACTTATGGGTCTAAATTCATGGAGAGAGGCAGAGCCAGACGCTGAAGACAAGCCAAGCTCCGGTGTTTGTAGACTTGCCCATTTCTACTCTCCGAGGGTCCATTCTCATGCTGGGGAAGCTAAACAACATGCCTCTGCAACGTGCTCATCTCATATAAACCAAATGCAATTAATGCTATGATTTAATTTTGTTAAAGTTAGGAAAATGAAATAATTCTTCTGAAATCTCACCTGGCTTCTAGTTTGGAGAAAGTTGTGCCTTTCCTAATGGCTTTGGAACAGTCGATAGATGGAAACCAGTTAGCTTCCTACAGTACATTCCTTGCCCAAAGCTTTTCTGTGTTGGTTGCTTTTGGAGCAGATAAGTTGCCCACGTAAGCGTAGCTGCCTCCCTATCTGCATGCCCTCTCTCCCCATGCTTTCCTTTCTCTTTCCCTGCAAATAGCAATGTGCTTTTCCCTTTCTTCCCTCTTCCCCCCATCTCATTTCTTCTGATTTTGGAACACACATCCATTTCCATACTCAGGCTGAATACTGCCTTAATTTGCCTTGTGCAGTGAGGGCAGCTGTAGTTGTAGAGCCATCTCACAAGTAATAGAAAAGCCAAGCAAGACAAATGAAACCAGGAGAGAAATAGAAGCATTGCCTTGTAGCCTTGTATGTTCCCATTTTGGCTGTCGGCAGGAGGTGGGTCCCAGGTGAGCTCCAGCTGGCTTGCAGAAAGGGAGTTTACTTGGATGTTCTGTGGGGCCATTGCTGGTGCTGGAGAGAAGGGAAGACAGAAGAATTAATAGTGACAAGCAGAACTAGTTCATATCCAGGCTGCAATTTTCCATTTGTGGTAGGGCCGAGGACAGACTGTTTATGCCGTGAGTCAGTTCACAGAGCCAGCCCTGGAGGTATCCATATTGCTGGGAAGTCTCAGGTATAAAGCAAGAGCATGCAGAGACTGAGAAGCTCCTGAGCCTCCAGAAGTGATATTCTGTGTCACACAGACTGGGTTAGACACTGAATAAACTCAATCCTGTCAGCAGCTTTGGGAAATAAAAGAGAATTTTTTCTTTATTCTGTGGTAATGTTTCAGGCTTGCCTTTGGCAGCGTCATGGTGCTCCAGAGCAACCCGTCTTGGAAGCAACTGTGGGGAGCAGCACAGCCCCCTGCCCCACCAGTCCACTTTGGACTCAGTGGCACATCTTTGTATCAGCCCCTTTCCGAGGACCAAGGTACATCAGCCCGTATCTAGTTCGGTACCAATCAATCTGCCTCACATTTTCTGTATGACAAAATGGCTTAGCTTGTTACTCATTAACTCTGATCTTGTATCACACGCATACACATAGCAGACCCCTTAGGCTCCCGACGATACCTCTTTGCATCGTGCTCTGCAAGAAAACCAATCTTTGGCTTCCTTCAAGTACACCTGGGTCACACCAGCTCTCCCTTCTGTCAGGATGCAACCTGGTGCTGGTGGATTTTCTTAACCAAACAGCACGTGTTCTATTTACAGAAGAGACGCCCAAGTGCATCCTGTTCCAACTCCAGAAGTAGGAAGGGAAAGGCAGGGCAAAGGCACGCTTCTCCACAGCCTTCACCCTCACCCTGAGAAAGCAGCCTCTTTTCTCTCTGCCCGTGTATGGGCCATAAATAGAAGTGATAAAACATTCACCACTCGAGGAAGATAGCTCCAGTTATCTGTTCTTCTGGAGACTTCCTTCTTTAGAGAATGACCTTCATAAGTCACACTTTTCTACCAATACTCCCTCCCCCCAGAGTTATAAAATAAAATAGTAATTAACACCCACTCAGCCTGACACCAACTATTTATTTTGTTCTAACTGTGTGGTTTCCATATTATCACTGCCCACCCTGCCGTTAATGGAAATGTTAATAACCAGCGCCAGGTTGTTGTGACAGATGCTTGGGCTCATTATCAGAAATTCTTATTTACCGCTCCATTAAACGACAGAATCGCACAAAAAAAAAACAATTCAATCAAAACTAACTGGAGGAATTTTAACAGCCACATTAATAATCCAAAACATAAATAAAGTTAATGTCTTTTGCATGTTTGCCACTGGCAACTCTATTGCAAAATTATTGCTGTACAATTAAAATGTGAAAGGTAAAATTGTAAATAGCCATTATCCCGGGTGAAAACTATTTGTTCCTTACACCTTTTGTTTCCTTTTCGGCTGTGCATGGCAGGGGGTGGTGATGACCAACTGTACAGCACAGCAGCCACACACTGCCTGGTTGCAGGGGTGCTGCTGCCTGATGCTGCTGTTGCACCTCTGCTCTCCAGGGCACTGCCTGCACTCAACACAGCACAGTGCTGCTCTGCCAAGGGCCCCGCCAAGCATCTCAGGGTTTTGAGACCTTCACTGCACACATCAGAGCAGCGGGGCCAAAGCGATCGCACAATACAAACCTGGAAATATATCTCGGGGATTTGCAGATGATGACATGCTCAGAGAAAAGGGAATATGTACAATCACAGAAGAAAACGGATTGCTTTAGCAGTGTGTTTTCTCTTCTGGGTAGTGACAGTGCTGGCTGCCCTGAGCTGACAGCTTCAAAGTGCTCTCAACACTGAGGTCTGAAGTGATGACTGCAATAGCATTTTTCTCTGGATCCTATGTGCCAGCCTGGAACAATTGCTGCTTCCGAGCTGTGACCATTAGAAGAGTTGGTGTGTTCAGCCTGCTGCCACAAAAACACCATCTTTTCCTCAAATCCTTTATATAGAGCATGTCTAAGAAACAAAGTGGTTAAAAACTGCCAGCGATCACTCTCCGCTGACACCCGCACTGCTGGAGCTGCACTTTTGCTGGCGCAGAGGTGGAAAATTTGATGGGAGGGGAAAAATAAAAAATGATAACTGCGTGAAAAAGGCATTTCAGCACCGCAGAGCCTCGACGAGATGCAAATTGTGTTTGGTTTTGTGCCCCGCGAGTCTGTCCCTCTGTTCAACTTTCAAAGGCTGACGTGCACAGGTTGGCAGTGAGGGACAGCAGCACTGTGCTGCTCATGCTTGCTGTGGCTCTGAGCACATAGGTAAAAGGCAATACTTTAAACAAGAGGAAACACAACTCTGAAGAGTTTACCTGCTTGGAACCCTGAGCCATTTGCCAAACGTGTGGACAGCCCGTGCCAATAAAACAAATGCAATTCAAATGCGAATTCAAAAGCCTTTTACCTTATAGGAATGCTGTTTGAGATTACTGAGCTCTGAATTCTTTTTTTTCATGGCTGTTGAAACCACTAATATATAAAAGCAAGGTTAAAGCCGCATACCTCACGCTGCTTCAGGTGTTAGTGACATTATCAGCTACAGCAGGAGTGACATGGAGCCCGGAGGGCCCAAATTCAGGTCTTGGCAGGTGGAAAGCATTTCACTTTCCCTGAAAAAATGCATGTATTCATGAAGTCTAATTCCCTGCATGTATCCCGCTTTGTTATCTCACGCAGATATTTGCAAACATTTCTTTTCTTATCTGATCTCAATTCACCTTTAAGATTGTCTCCTTGACAGTCTCTCAGTCAAAAAGGAAGGAGAAAAGCCTGAGCGGGTTGTGCAGTAATTAGTAAAAGTAATAACAACAGCAACAACAACTGTAGGCTGGAATGATGGCAGGGTTGTATAAAGACAATGAATCTATCTGGGAGTGGAATGAGAGAGAGAGAAAAAATGAGTGCGTGGATAAAGTTACACATCGAAATCCACATTTAAATATATCACTGTCCTCATTTCTCAGTGGAACTGAGTGCCTCTGCTCGCTTTGCAGACAATTTGAGCTTGCAAATGCTCATAACCTTTAAAGAGAAGGTGCTTGAAATCCCCAGTGGCTCTGCACCAATCTCCACGCTCTGCTGAAGGTTCACCTTAGTTTTTCTTCCTCTTGCCTGGGATATTTGCTCTCTGGGCTGTGTGACACCGAGAGCTTTTTATCAATATGAAAGTACTATTCCTTTTCTTAGTGACTGTCGCCACGATGCTCTGTAGCACAGGTAGGCTACAAATCCCTGTGATTCATCAGGTAAACCTAATAGCTGTTTTTTATGAAGCATTCCTTGCTGCTCTTACAGCTGCTCTGATTTCTGGCTAGTGAAAGGTTTCCCCTTTACCGACTTTCTAATTATTTCTATAATGCCAATATTACATTGGGGAATTCGTAGACAAGTCTGGGACATGATGTCCCTAGTACTCATGCCATTTAAACATACAAAAAAATACAACCATGGAGAAAAATGCAGTGAAAGAGACCAAAGATCTTCTATGTATCTTCTTGATCCTACAGTCCCAAACAATCCCAAGCAAATTCCTGTTCTGTAAAGACCTCCGATCCTTTTCTGTGTAGCAAGCATTTTCCCTCCAGTTCATCAAAGCATGCTTTTGTGAATGTGCCTGCCTTTATTCCCTGGTAATCAATATATTTACATTTTGGTGTTAGCACCTAGAGGCCAGAATCTCATTGCACAATGTGTTGCATAAACACAGAACAAAGAGACAGCTCCAGGCCTAAAAGCCTCTAATCGGTATTTCTGCACACTGAAATGGAGGGTTGGCTGCAGCATGTTCTAGCACAACAGATGCAATCTCATCTACCTTCTCTCTGTAAGAGGGAAGACAGAGCAATATTCAGTGCAGCATATGCTCACAGTTAAAGCACGCACACGCGGCACCTCCCAGGTTTACACACAGGTTCCTGGCACACACAGCCCTGGAAAACTGAGCTGGAAAGGACTGGAGAAGGCTCAGACAATCCAGGTTCCCATGTCACGTTGGGCTCAGCTCTGCTGTCCAGATGTCTGTGTGATCCTGGCCACTGACCCCTTTCCAAATTCCACTGCCATCCCTACACAGACGCTGCCTATTTAAATAACCCTTTACATGTACTCTTGGGGTAGTTTTGCTTTCTCAATGCCTGGCATCAGCAGTCCTTGCTGCACTGGTTCTGTCCCAGAAGCAGGACACAAAGCATCTCTCCTTTTCCCTTTGCAGCCGTGCAGAGATAAGCAACTGTTACACGGAGTATTAAAAGCCAAACATGAGAAAACAAACAGAAGGCCACAAGATAAAATATCAGAGACTGATTAGCACAACGGGCAAAGCCAAACCCAAGAGATTTTCTCACAGTCTGGACTCGAAGAAGAAAGATGAGGATGGTCTCTCCCAAAGAAATGAACAAAGTGGTGGATTTGCAGATGTTTGCAGTTATTCCTTCCACCAAGGAAAAGCAGTGTGAGAGAAAAGGCATTCAGTGCTTATTGGCCATTTTCTTACAGTGCCTGTGAAGGAAAGGAGGGAGCAGGAACGTTTCCTCTGTGCAGCAGTGCTCCATGCCATCAGGAATGCTGTGTGAGCTATGCTGATTAGCTCAATAACAATTACTTAATTGTGCTTCAAAAGCAGCAACTGAAGCTGCTTTCCGCTGTGACAAGGCAGTGCAAGCTATATTTAGAACGTAAAAGATGTTTCCCACCAATTTCTGGCTGTTTTAAGCAAGGCTGCATTTTGTGATGAAAGTACACGCATTTTTTTTCTGAGGGCTGCATGTTGTGGGGCTGCTCAGATGTATTTCACAAGCAGTAAGATGGGCAGATATACATTCAAAAGCATGCATACTGACACCCTTAATTCTCCAATACAGCCCTGTTTGCTGTCACTGGACCTCTCCTACCCAGGCACCAAAACTCAGCACTCTGCCTCTTACCAGCTTGGATAACCTGCTATGTGATAGGAGCCTGAGGAAAGGAACAA